GAGGGGACGACAGGGGCAAGCCCGCTGCGGCGAAAGCTGCGAGCGGCGGGGGAGTCGGGAGGGAGAGCGGGGGACGGACGAGGGTGGGGGGGGAAACGTTAGGAAACAAAACTTCCAGAACACGGCCACACAGCCCGGAAGACCCACCCCAGCCAAACCAGTATTTTATTTAATCCTTTCATTGTGATACTGGTAACATGTTCAATAAATGTGCAAAATGCTCAGCGTTCATCCCAATGCCTTTGACTGATTGACTAAAATCTTACAAGCCACTTGCCAGGTTATTATTTTTTAAAACAAATAGATAATATTATGCTTATTTCCTGTGAAGAAATTCATTTTTCTTTCTGGGCAAGCTATGCTCCCTGCCCTCATCTGCAGCCCTGCAGGAAGTTTAGACTGAATAGCACCCCACCACCTCAAGCCAAAATGAAACACAGGGTAGCCTTCTTGTGCATTTGGTCTGTAATGTTTGCCACCAGTCCGCAAGAGGAGAGAGTCTGCCTGATCTAAAAACAAACAAAAATCTGTGGATTTTTCTTTCTCTTTTGCTGGAAGGCTAGGCATCAGCTTGAGGAAGACGGATGGAAAAGAATAAGCCAATCTCCCAAACACCTGCTTAGCAACTGGCTTGAGACACCAACGGCCATTTCTGTTTACATACCTTGATTTTTTTAGCTTTTGGTACTGTACGAGCTCTCTCTGTATTCCTTTTCCTCTTTTTAGGTTTGGTTCTACAGACTCGATTGACTGTCAGAGTGATGCTTGTAGGAGTGTGCTGTGTAGCAGTATACAACACTGTGGAGGGAGAGAGCTCCTCATCCCAGCTCTCTGTTGCACTGCTATCTCCACCTACAATGGAAAATATCACACCGACAACTTTCATTTCACTTTCTGAGAAATCTTCATATTGCTCTGCAGCGTGACTTTAGAGAAGAGATGCCATGCCACCTGCCTCTCATGACAACTTGCTCAGTATTGGTCCCCACAGCTCTTCAACTATACCCCTGAAATGGGAAGCAATTCGTGAAAGGATACAAAGAAGCGCTCTGTCATGGAAATGAGTTATTACAGGCAAGGAGGCATAATAAACATTCTTTTATCAGGACAAATACTGATTCATAAATCTCAGTGATCTGGTTGCAGTACACAGACTGAACTCACCTGACACGTTGTCTTGTTTCCGGCGACGGAATCTGATTACTTTTCCCCTGCCAATTCCCCTACAAAAGAACGATAGAAACCTGATACTGGCACTGTCAATGGCAGCACTGCCTAAAATGAAATTGGACTACAGTGGCTGGGGTCTTCAGTGGAATGCCAGATGACTTCATCTTGAAGAGTTACATAAAGCTTCCATGCCCTTAACGGCTATCAGAACTTTATATACCAATATGCAAGGCCATTTCTTTAGCTAATAATGGGTTATGCAACCAATGCATTTTCCATACTCCCCAAGAGTTTCATCTTTTAATTTTAGAAAGAACACGTTCCAAAATTAAGAGGTAAGCTTAAAGAGTATGAAAACATTAAATATTCTGGGCTAGGGATAATCTGAAGGGACAGGAAAGACTCCTAAAGGACATGTCTGTCCCTCTGAAACTGAGTCTCCAGTTTTACTTCTATCTGAGAATCTCTGGTGACATTAATTTCCATTTACTTCTACTATTTCACTGCAACTACTATTCTGTGATTAGGAAAATGTCTCTAACACCACAGAAGTCCAATAGAGACTGCTTAACCAATTATATTTGGCTGACTGAAACAAGGAAGTATCTTTTGCAAATTTCATCTAATTAACTTGCACTGCTTGGCCTCTGTGTTGTGAAATTCTGTTTTTCTTTTTTAACTTGCTACCAATTAGTTCCTTTGCTCCATACCTTAATAATAAATCACAGGCTGAATTAATGGGAAGTTAAGAGAATGCTCCACAAAATAATAATGAAACCTCCTTAACATTCCTCACTGATCTGGTTACCCACATACCCAGAACTTACCTGCATTTTTCACATTTGATGAGGAAGCCATCTTGGGAGAGACTGCAGTGACACCAGCTGGGAATAGATTCTGCCTCTGAAGAGCTCTCTGTGTCACCAGAATTCTCCTCATCATGAGAGTGCAGGCCATTCAGTTCTGCACGTGGGATGATGGTCTGGACAGGGGGAGAAGCAGGAGGGGTCGGAGGAGGAGGAGCTCCGTAATTATGATCCTAAAAACAAATGTTTGCATCAGTGCTGTTTTAAATTTACGGGAAGGACAACAGTAAAAGGAAAAAGAATCACTTACAAAAATTTATGACCTTTAATAACACATTCCAAAGCCTAAAGAAGCTCACAGAGGTTTGGAAGGTGATCAAAATATATGATTACAAGGCTCATATAGTTAATCTGGGATTCGTTCTAAGGGTAAGTAGAGTAACTGTTTCCTCTGTTCAACCCAAGAGTAGGTGGTAAATTTGAATTTCCTGAAAAATTAATAATGAAGACATTTTCCAAGCACCTATGCAAAAGAAAAAATGAAAAGTGGACTTTTGGGAAACTTCAAGATTGGTTAAAAATACATATACAAATACACACACACACTCACAAACACACAAAGCTAGCACATTAGGAAAGGAAAAAGCCCACAAATCAACTGAATCAGGATGGTACGCAAGTAGGAGTACATATTAAGATGCAAGGATTTTGCACAATTGAACATAAGAAGCCTGCAAGCAAAGTCATACAAACCTCCTGATTCTGAAAATATTATGGTTTATGATACACATAAACATAAATATTTTCATTAAAAAATAAAACAGCTATTAGAAATTCCACTATAGCTTCCTCTCAGTAAAACCACAAAAAATGCCTCTTCATCTAAGCCAACATTCCATTTTGCAATAAGCTTTCCACAAATACATTAAAAAAAATATCCAAAACTATACTGCAAATGCCCTCCAAAAAGGTCTGTAGCTCAGTCATGTTTAAGCTGGGAAAGAAAAAAACGGGCTTGATAAAGTACGAATCTACTGCAGATAACAGAGAAGGTACTCACTGCATAAGGCAGCCCTCGGTAGCTGTGCCTTTGGGAGGCCCCGTAGCCGTGATTTGCATACACATTCTTCTCACTAACAGCTGGGCTAGCTTCGACAGACTCTGGGCTGCAAAAAGGGCCAACAGCAGAACCCATCAGTATAGGAAGTGGGTCTTTTCCCATAATTAGCCAGATTTCAGAACTCTCTCATGATGCCAAATAATAATCTAGCCAAGACTGGACACACCTTGGGAGAACAGGAGGGACAGAACCCATGAACGCTATGTTGTAAAGAAGGGAGAAAAGGCTTATATGACTGGCATGCGGTTTCAAAGTTGGTATTCAGTAAGAGATTAACAGGAATGGAAAAGGTGCTCATACCAATCTTTGAACTACTTGTTAGTTATGTGTATGTTTCATCAGATGGTGGATTTTAAATTCTTTGTAACCTTTCTCATCTCCCTGACTTATTTTGTAATCACAGCTTTTTGTCCATTCAGGTTACAAAGTTTATAGACCTCTGACTTAGCTGAACATTCCTTCCAGGCCACAAAGTCACTTGCTGCTTCTCCTTAATGCCTATGAGCCTAGATACAGTTTCTTAGTGACAGAAATTTGAGTGAACTTGGCAAGAATAGATCCTGAATATTTCATTTAATAAAACCTGCAATGTGTAGAATATCCTGCTTTCTCACACAATTATGTGAGGAATAGCATACCTAATCTCTACAACTGGAAAGAAAAAGCAATTTTCTACCACAAGATGGCAGAAAAAATCAGCTTAAAATGTACAAAATTAGCAGTTAGTGAAAAGCTATGGGAGTCCTTGTTACAGAAAAGGAAGCAGGAAAAGCTTTAGGTGAGGAAGCCAAAGCTGGAAGCCAGAAGGAGAAACTGCTCTATATGGAGGATGGAAGGGAGAGAGAGGGGAAGACTAAGATGGGGGAGCTGAGCCATTGCTGCAAGCACACACTGGGAATAGGGTCCAGAAAATGTCCTTTCTGAAATCACAGTACGTTTTCAAAGACTATTCCTATGAAGAAGAGAGCTGTAATCATACCACAGTTGTTTACTTGCAATCCTGTCCCTCCACAAGATCTCAGCATCATTTCTATCCCTGACAATTGCCCTGTTGTGGTAAATCAAGGTAGATATATCTTTAAAGCAACTGATAAATCATATATGTATGTTTTGTTTTGAAGTCCTCTAACTTGCTTGACAGAAGGAATCTACCCTATTACAGTACTTCATCTTGTTACTTTATCTATACTCTAATGCCCAGAAATTTTGCTAGAATAATTATATAACTTGTCCTGTTTTCCAAATTGTGGCTTTTATTCGACTGAAAATAATTAGTGGATTGTGACAGTGTGATGAACTATAGGCTGATGGACCCTATACCTACAAGAATGTGAAGTTTAGTGCTACAGAGTAATATTATCACAACCACTACTTGTAGCCACCATTGTTTCTACCTCCATATTCCCAAGAAGGAAAAGGAGATGAGATATAAGAGAATGGCCTTCTCAGGCCTCTTTATACCAGATGACAAGATGCAAAGCCACCACAGCTGGCAGTTATCATGAAATGTGACCTCATATGCTCTTAGGCAGCCCAGGACAAAATACAGCAAATAAAATTAATCATAGTGCAAAAAACCCCAACAACAACAACAACAACTAGTATTAAATCAACCTTTGAGTTGGGAAGAAAGATGTGTATCTGAGCTAAATCTAGCATCGATCAGTAATAGCATCAGTCAGGATTCTAAATGGATTTTTTCTGCTGAGCACACAACTGAAGCTGCATTGGTTAAACCCTTCTTTCTTAACTATGCTGATCAGATTCATGCTATGAAAACAAACCAGAAATAATGTCCACTCATACTTTGCATCCACTAAAAAGAAGCAAGGAAAAGGAAAGCCCTGTGTATGCAGGGGCCTCACAAAAGCCTAGCAGAGAGAGGCTATATACACACAGGGATTAGTCCGCCTTGAGTACTGACTGTAAAGCAGATGGCTGAAACAGGATGTCTGGCTTTCTAAGTTACAATGTTCACTCTGGTGTTACAAATTGCTGAAGAAAAGTCTAAGGAACACAGAACATCCATCTCAGTTCTGGCCTTCCCCTTTCCTATGGACACTTGATTTGGGTTCCTGTACCAGTAGCTGCCAGAGGATGTTTCCTGCAAGCAACTTAATAATCCTCCCTCAGGAAAAGAACACTACACTAAAAAGATGAAAATCCACATAACAGTTTGAGATAGGCAAGAGGCCTGATGCCTGAAAGATCCTCCTTACCCACATCATACAGCCATCTGTATCAGCAGCACCATGCAACTTAGGCTACAGGAGAGGAAAAGAAGAGTACTGTCAGGGCTCATTCCTTGCAAGATACCTATCAACCAAGGCATGACACAACAGAATGTGAATTAAAGACCTTTGGGAAAGCAGTATTCTAGCAAAGTGCTTTTCCTTGAATGCAGTTTGGAGGATGGAGAACAGCTTCTCCTTGGTGTTTCATCTTGATCTAACATGTATAGGATAAACCAGTAAACTGAGGCTGTATCTGTTGAAAAGCTAATTGCTTTCTATTATCCCAGGCTCACCAGAATAGCCAAGATCTGAACACCAAGTTCTGATTCCATACCCTCCACATATTCAGACAAGGAAGCACTTACTCAGATCCAGCAGCCATATCTGAATAAGATGTATCTGGTGTAGTGACTCCCAGAGGGATTGCAATGCTCATGACGTTTGTCAGGGATCACGGAGTCCAAAGGGTAGTGACTGGCAGCTCCAAGGGCGGGGAGCAGCCGCAAAGCCTCGGCCAACACGTCACGGACATGGGTAAACCTGCCAAAGGAAAAAGAAACAATGCACTGCACTTGTATTCTTCACAGCCACAGCCACAGCCACAGCCACAGCCACATGATTTATCCTGTAAATCATGCTGAAGTTGAGAAGACTGAGAGTAAAAAAGAAAGCAGTAACTTCAAATGATGCATGTCATCTCTTGCCTGAAGTTCACGTTTACATAATTTTCACTCTAATATGGGCACCAATTTCATACAAAGATTTTCACATGACTCAGAAGAGAACACTGAGCAGAATAAAAAGCTTGAAGGCCTCTCTTGCAAATGTCAGCCATTTGAACAAAACTGCTAATATGGGGATGGAAGAGGAGAAGCAAACACTCCCAAAGTGGAAGCAAACAAAGAATATATTTATTTCTACACATATTATGTTATAAAAATGCAATTACTTTAATTGGAAAAATGCACAGAAGCAGATATCAGGAAAGAAATTACCTTCCATTTTTCATATATGCTGCTGAGAAAAGCAGTGACAAGTATACAGTATTCAAATATGGCATGCTATTTTAGAGGCATTTACACCTACGTATAAAAAAGGCCAAGTGAGAAGAAGTTCTGAAACAGGCCAATGGAGAAAAAAGCAGCATAGGTACGAAAGAGGAAACAATATGTTGTGAATGGTAGCAAATTAATTCAATCTCTCTGCACTTGCCTCCAAAAAGCTTGGGGGGGGGGGCTTCAAGCAAAGGAGAGGTATCTTGTTTATGCCTTTCAGGTGCAACTAGAGCAGGACTAGGACTAGCACTGCAACTGCAGAACTCTGAATGCTTGTGGGAATTATTTATTCTGGAGTGGCAACAGGAATGCATGGATTAAAGCAGTTGCAGTAAGGCCATCTGTAAATATTGGTGATTCTAAAATTATAAGTGGCTGCATTGCCTCAAATTGTTTTGTCCAACCAATATTTTTCTAAGATAAACATACAAATAATAATTTGTTTATAGGGCACAATTTCTACTCCTCTTAATAGCCTTTTAAGAATTTCCCTATCTCTACAATCTGCCTACGCGCAAGGCTAACGTTTGTGATACAGGTAGTCCCCAGTTTAAGAATGAGTTCCATTCCCAAGGTCTGTCCTTGAATTGAATTTGTATGTAAGCCTGAACAGTATTATTGTATAATACTGTATAAGTAGTACTGTGCTATTAACTCAAACCATTGTATATTTAACTCGAATCACTGTGTATTTAACTTGAATTTTGCTACAATAGGCTCCGTTCTTAACTATGGGTTGTCTGTAAACCAGGCATTCTTAACCTGGAGACTACCTGTAAAATGAACAGAAATCGCATTTCTATTCTGTCCTAGATCACAGCATTTCCTTCCAGTTCTTTAGGCCAACTGTGCCTGTACAGCCGTTTGTACAAGAAGTCAGTCTTTGGATTCTTTAATGATTCCTAGGATAGCTTGGGATAAATGTTGAAAGCTGGAACTTCAAACACATCCCATCTCTCAGCAAGCAAGACACGTCAGACACAATATCACTTATCTGATAGGTCAGCCTAGAAAAGGCTGTTATTTGTTCTCTTCTCAGTGAGGGTGGAGACATAAGATAACATCAGCCTGCTAAGAGAGCTGGGAATTCCCTTCAGGACATTTCTGCACAGTTGAGAGCTATCTGCTGCCATAAAAGGAACACCCATGCTCAGAGGTTACATTGGATACTGTTAATATTTCTGAAAAGGAAGTATTTAAGTGGGACATTAGAGGTGTATTTGTAAATATGTACATGTTTACATGATAAAAGCATGTGAGACTGCAGATTCTTTTTGAAAGCTCTCTGTACATCACTAAAACTGTAAATGTAAGCTGTACTAGTACTCTGAGAAAAATATCTCATGTATACTACGGGGAAAAAAGTGTGAAAACCCTAAAGATTTCCTTCAGATTTAGCAAACAACCCAAATATGGTGGTCAAAACGAGTATCTTTGTAGTCCTCTCAGAGAATTGGCTACCACCTGAGAGAAAGGTCTGCTGTTATCATCCAGAAATCATAAAATCCAAAGGAAGGAAGGATATCACGCTCATACTTTAGAAACAAATTGAATACATAATATCATATCATAGGGGCCTTTGAAAAAAGTGATAGTTGAACCAGCCAGTCTACACCCCCAGTCAATCTGGAATTCCAATAATCTACTAGGTATTAAGCCCAGCATCAAAATAACATGAACTCTGAATAAGTGCTCAGAAAATACAAATGACACACAGGATAATGGAGAAGAAAACAAACAGGTCTTAACAACATTTTCTGGCTCTTTCAGGTAGAATGCTGCAGAAGATACCCTTGAAATAGCAATATTAGACGGGTGGTGTAGCCCAACTCAAATTTAGCAGAAAGCTTTACCTATTCTGCAAAATCAAATTATGCAATAGCATGGATAGCAGTTTAGCCAGATGTGGATATAGGTAATTGAGTTGAACAGAAAAGGGTAGTATCAATTCTTTTTATATAGAAATGGCCCATATAAACAGGCTCTCCATTAGCCAGGTCTACAGTTATCAAATCTGAGACTGTCACAGTGTTCAAGATGTAAAACCAACAGAATAGTGTGATCTTTGTTTCAACCTTTATTCTCCATTGGGGGCAAGACGAAGAGCTGGCTGAAGTGTTTTGTGTATAAAAACAATAAGACAATGAAGCTGGGTGCCCCTTTGCCTAGAATAGTCTGAGTTCAAACCAAAAGAACTGCTCTGTGGGGGATTAATCCCTTTCTGCAGAATCTCACAAGCTGTATCTCTGAATTCTCAAAAAGAAGGGAGCAGGGTTTTCAGCATAGATTGAGCCCCAGACAGGACAACAGAAGGATGCCCAGTCATTAGTATTCTCTCGTGCCTACATAATGCATTAAGCACAAAGCACTATGTTCCTTAGAAATGTTTAATATCCAACAAAGGGTGATAACATCCACCTTTTAAAAAAGACTGAAAAGGGCATCTTTCCTTTAAAAACGATGCCACCAATCCCAAGGCACAGAACTGGACATGGATCACAATGTATTCTCTCCTGATCAACAACACAATGACTTGGAAAAAGAAAAAAAAAGTTAATCTATGTACAATTTCCAACACTGATCTCACTTCCATCATTTGCCATTATCTGCAAAAGTCCTATAATGCAGGGGGGTAGGCAATTAACATAATTAAATGTAGAGAGAAATCTTGAGATGTCTATGTAAAGCATGAATCATCATAAAAAACAGATCTCACCACATGGCAATTTACTTTCTCATGAAAGGAAGAACTGAGTCCATCCAAGATTTGTTGTCATGAAAAGCCACTGTGTGATGTCATATATTTTTAAATATTTTTGTGTTTAGTGACTTCAAGGACATGTAGCTTTCTTGGCAACAATATGGAAGTGGTTTATCTACCTTCTTCTGTTTTTTTCAACTACCCAGTCTAGCATGCAGCCTTGGGATTTCTTGGAGGTTCCCATTCTCTTCTTAGGTTTCTAAGATAAACCAATATTAGCTGATATTTTATGTCTGTTAAGTTACCAAACATGAATCAATGAATCATAAATGTTTAATACATTCAAAACACTTCCTCAAAATTATTTGCGGTAAGACCCATGTGTTCAATGCTATCACATAAAATGACAGATTTCTTATTTTATTTTTGCAAGTATATCACATCTTTCTCCAATAAAATCAAGCCAAAGCAGTTTATAAAGTCATATAATTACTTGGAAACATTTACAAGTTTAAAAAGCCATCATACTAATTTCTATATCATGGTCAACACCAACAAGTCAATCAAGTGGATCCTGGTATTACATTCTGGGGGGAAAAAATCAAGAAAATACAATATTCAGATGCCATATCTCTAGTTGACTATGAACACCATGTAAAAGTATTGTGAGTGGTAAAATTACATCACTGGGTGGTATTAAGATTATATGTTTCTGTAAGTCAAGAGCTTTTAAAAGCCTTTTTTTTAAAAAAAAAGACACATCTTTCTACAATTTACAATTTGACCCTAACTGAAATTGACCCTTGCAAATACTGGCATCCTTGCTGGTTCTAGGATCATTCCCAATAACAGCATTTGGTGCTGGAACACACATTTGGAAAATATTGAGCTGAAGATGCAACTTTTTACTCTATCACCCAAAAACTCCCACTACTAAATTTTGGGGATAAAATGGGCCTATCAGAATATTATCATTTTGTACCTATTCAGTTGATGAAGCATTATCATAAAACCAAGTTTCATTGCAGTTAATTCAACTTAAGCATTTGGTTTTTTGAGACAGATGTTATTCCTGTTTTGGACATTTGGCTATCTACTAGCAGTTGTGGAAGAATCAACTGATGGTCCTAAACCCATTTTTATAATAAGATGAAAGAATTTGATGACACTGATGTAATTTTTTTTTTGCATAACTTTGAATAACATTCTAAAGTATCATGTATTCATCAGGTGCATTGGTTATTTAAAAAGAGTTGGGAAAGTTATGACAGTGAAAGAAGATAGTCACAGATCTAATTTTATTTTCATTTTCACATACTACCTCTTTCACAACTCAAGCCAGACTTCTATTCTTATTATCCACCCTCTTCTTTTTTCTTAAAATTATTATGTCACCCTCCAAAATCCTTCAAGTAAACAATATTCCTGTCTTTGTCTCTAAATTTTATGCAAGGATTTTCCCTAGCCATGCCTCCTTAGTATATTTCCCATTTTCATGTCCCTGCTTTCACTCAGAATTTGTTTCTTGGCAAGGAGAAACAAGAGTTTCTAGACAAGGAGAAAATAAAGAAAAAAGTATTCTCTGTGCACTATGAATACTTTTTTCTCTATTTTCTCCTTGCCTAGAAACTCTTGTCCGTAATTACACAGCATTTCTCTTCTTCACAGATCTTTATAAAAATTCTATGATATGCTATCACCCCTCAACTTTGAAAATTTGGTCCATAGGTATTTTGTTGATATGGCATAAAGCAAAAGCTAGCTGGGACAACGCCTTGATATAA